GTTATGGACTTGGTATTGGGCTGTGGCCCAATAAAGAGAATGGACTTAATGAGTTGTGTGGACCCTTAGTCAAGATTTTTATGTTGTGTAATGGCTTGGTATTTATTATTTGGATAGATCGGGATTTTTGGTGAGGCAGCGATTCGGGAGTTTGATTCTTCAGTTCAGATCGGCATTGCGAGGTGAGTTATCCTCACTGTACTCAAGGGTCTAAGGCACCAAGGCCGACCCTTTGTTTTGTTATTGGGATTATTACTGTTGTGACATGTTAGCTCGGTATCCTGGTAGATAGGATGGCTATATGCTAGTATGATCTGTTAGATCGGTATCTTGGTAGATCAGATGTGGTTCTGCCTAGTGACCTATAATTGGTCTGACTGTATGCATGCTATTGGTTATGCCAGTTAAGTAGATCTGTAGGACTACCTGTAGTATGATGTGATTATCTGTATGTGCATTAGTTGTGTTATATGTCGACATATTATGTGGGATGGGTTGAGGTGAAACTGCTCCGTGCGGTAACCAACAAACCAGGGAGCATTCTAGATACGAGCAAAGGGAGACTCGTACTGTGGGCTAGATGGCAATCCAAATGTGAGCTGTGGGCCCGGAAGGCAATCCAGACTCACAATGTGGGGCCAGGGGTAATCCAGTCTGTAAAGCTGTGGACCCAGTACATGCTGTTATTTGTATATGTGTTATGTGAAGTGTATCGGTATGTTGGCATTCCAACCCAATGGTTGAGGGCTTGGGTTATTCCATCCTGATGGGTGATTGGACCCATAGTATGTTGTTTGTTATTGTATGCGTATTGTTGTGTGTATGGGTATTTTGGGGGTAACTCACTAAGCCTTCGAGCTTACGGTTTCAGTTTATTGTTTTAGGTTCAGCGGATGACCGCGGGAAGGCGAAGGCGTGACCGTACACTTCCTCGATTGATGATCATGATTTCTGGGAACTCTGATGTTTAAACTATTTTGAAAACAAATTGTAATAACTTAATGGTTTTAAATGATTTAAAAAGTTTTAAATTGGCTCGAATTTTATGGATGTTACAGTGACATGATGAGTCGCTATCCGCATTTGTTTGCTAATGTATGATTCCGGGGACGGAATCATCCTAAGGGGGAGAGAATTGTAACGCCCGTGTTTCTAGGCTAGGCATTAATGGTGATGTAATAGTCTAGGCCAACCTTTGTAATTTGTTTTGAAATAATAAGATGTATTATTTGAGTATTATGTGTTTTATACTTAATTATTATGATTTAATGAATTAATGATAAAAATAAGCGTCGAAAATAAAATGTTAAATAAAGTCGATATCTATGAAGAAAGTTGTAGTGGTTGAAACAAGAATTTCGGAGATATAAAGAATACTGAAATCCGAGTTATAACGAAGAAGTTATGACCTGTCGAAGTTTCGCGACAGAACCGGAACGACGCTGTGTGACGTAAAAAGTGAATTTATGATAAAAGTGCTTTTTAGCATTAGTAATCTAAACGAAATTCGTAATTGTCATTAAACCGAGAGCGTGTATAAAAAGAACGCCCAAATCTGACTTCGTATGAGAAAGTTATGATTTTTCTAAGTTTCAGCTTAGCTGTATGCAACCCGAAACTCGAATTTTAGATCGAGTGATTTTTATCCAAAACAACCTAAACGAAAATCGAAGATTTTGTTGATAGTAGTTCAACGGTAAAAAGACAGACGAAAACGGACGTCGGATGAAGAAGTTATGATTTTTTAACAGACTTTTCATGTCCCCGCCTGTTAAAAATATAACTTTAAAAATAAAGTCAAAATTAGCTGACGGGGTCTAAACGAAAGTTGTAGAGCACAGTCTCACCTACGCGTGGATATAAAGAACGTCAAAAACGAAGCTCGTATGAGAAAGTTACGAATTTTTAAAGTTTGAAAATTCGGAGTACGCCCCGCGTACTCGTGTAAGTGTTCCGGAGTCCGTCACCTCCCCTACTCCTTCGCATGAGAGACACGTGTCGTAGTCTTGACGCGTCCGATATGATCCCTTCGTACGCCCAGCGTACTCGATGTACGCCCAACGTACTCGTTGAAGAAGCAGTACGCCCCGCGTATTGTATCGTTACGCCCAACGTAGCTCGAGTACCCAGCCACAATAAATAGCGGACGATGCCAGCCGAATTGATGTTACCATTTTACTCTTCTCACCCTTAAACTTTCTTGAATGTTGCAATAAATATCGCTAAACCTTAAATACTATCCTAGCATCGTAAGCAACCCCGAAGATCCCGAGAAAAGAGTTTTTCGAGACGAAACTCTACCCGCGTGAAGCCCGGTTTTTGGGAAAACATTCCGGTTTTATCGGAAACGATCGTTTTAAGAAACGAAGTGCTGACCGATTATCGTTAAACCCTATATGCTCACCAGGCTCCCAAGCCTGACCTACTCAACTTTTTATATTACAGGTAGTGGACCCAGAGCATAGTTGGATGACGACGAGGGATTTTTTGATTATAGGCCACTAGATGTAAATATCTGTTGTAAGACTTATAATATACTGTTTATGCTTTTGGTCTGTATCGGAACATGACATCCCGAGGTTTTGATATATAATAAAAAAATATATTTCTTTAAGAAATGTTTTGATAAATTTTTATCATGTTTTGTTTTGGGGACAAATTCCACAACATTTTTTAAAAAGATTACTCTGATTTTATTTTAAAAGCATAAACTAAATCAGTCTTTTCTGACCGAGAAATTTGGGGATGTCACACGCATCGTTCTCTGAACATCCATTTTTCAATTGTTATGAGTTACTTAATTTATTAATTTTAAAAAATCAAATACTGAACGTTTGATTGATAAAACTCTAAATGTACAACCGTTTTTTTTTTCTTGAAATCTAAAGAAAGTAAAAGGAAAAAAAGAGGACATAAAGTGAAACAAAGAAAGGAACCCAAATAACTTATAGTCTTTCAAAATCCATATTGATCATACCAACCTTTAGCTCTTCTTGGCATATTTCATTATTCAACTATTTTTTAAGAGATTGTACCCATCAATCTTTTTTTTCCTTCACCCAAAATCTTGAGATCTTGGCTCAATATATATGTAAAAGAAGACACTTACACTCACTTTCCATTCTTATTTTCCTCATCTCTTCTAGTAATATTTTTCTATTAAACATGTATGTCTATATAAACACTCTTTTTCATTTTCATG